CAACGGTCCTGCTGTAGTTTTTTCAGCCATCCGCCCAACTTGAAACTGCTAGCAGTATACAAACGATTCGTGAATCGTGCCTCTCCTTTCAACCCAAAGAAATTCGTTCACACACTCCTTTCTACACCTATTTTGAAATACCTGTATATATTTCTACCAGCCGATCGTTATCAGCATGCAGTTCACCAGTGTACTTGTCGGCCTCGGCCTCATGGGGGCCACAGCTGTAGCAGCCCCCCACCGTGCCTCTCACCCTCATGCTGTCTCGGCTCGTCAGTCTTCAGGAGCCCAAAATGTTGTCTATTGGGGCCAGAATGGCGGTGGTACGATCGAGAACAATGACCTCTCTTCATATTGTACATCGACTTCTGGCATCGATATAATTGTGCTAGCTTTCTTGTACGAGTACGGCAACGGAGACACAATCCCCTCGGGCACCGTCGGTCAGTCGTGCTTCATCAGCACATCGGGTGAAGGACAGAACTGCGCGGCCGTGGCCTCTTCCATCGCCACCTGTCAGGCGGCCGGTGTCAAGATCATCCTGTCCCTGGGCGGCGCTTCCGGCTCATACACCCTGACCTCGGATGCCGAGGCAGAGGCTATCGGGCAGTACCTGTGGGACGCGTATGGTAACTCAGGCAGCAGCGTTCAGCGTCCATTCGGCAATGTCTTCGTCAACGGCTTCGATTTTGACATCGAGGTCAGCTCGGGCAGCGCGTACTACCCGACCTTGATCTCCACGCTGCGCGCCAGCTTCGCCACTGACCCTGACAACACCTACTACATCACCGGGGCGCCTCAGTGTCCGGTTCCGGAGCCCAACATGGGCGCCATAATCGCGGGCGCCGAGTTCGATTACCTCTGGATCCAGTTCTACAACAACAACAACTACTCGGTAGACCCCTGTGCCCTGCCCTTCAACGGCAACGCCGCCTTCAACTACGATGACTGGGTCACCTTCACGGCCGGCACCCCTTCGGCAAATGCCGAGCTCTTCATCGGCGTGCCCGCGGCTCCAGATGCTGCCAACGGCAGCCCCAGCGGTGAGACCTACTACATCACGCCCGACCAGCTGTCCGAGCTTGTCAGCGAGTACAGGACGGCCGACCGCTTCGGCGGCATCATGATGTGGAGCGCTGGCTTCTCCGACTCTAACGTCATCGACGGCTGCACCTACGCCCAGGAGGCGTACGCCATTCTCAACTCGGGCTCCCCTTGCTCCGACGGCGCCACCACCCGCCCAACCACCACCGTCGTCGCGACCAACACCGTCACGGCCACCGCCACCGGTACCACTTCGCCCACCTCCACGGCCACGGGCACTGTTGCCCAGTGGGGCCAGGTACGTGCTCTATCCTCCGTTTCCCAATTACATATCCTCAGGCAGGTGGCTAACTCGTGTCTCAACAGTGCGGCGGCGAAGGCTACACGGGCCCGACAGCGTGTGCATCTCCATACACTTGCGTGGCGACCTCTGTATGGTGGTCGCAGTGCGAGTAAAAGAAAAAAGACACTTCCTCGCACTATCCGTGGATCTATCTGGGCTACCCTTCCTAAGCTAGAAAGTGCCCGACATCGGCTTAATTGCGACAGCCTCAAAGAAGTGTCGCTTTCTCCAAATGATATATGTATATACGTGCCTATGTTTATATTTTCTTCCTTCATTGTACATATTATATCACTTTATGTCACTGTAGATTTTATCTACAAGCTGATTACTGGAAATAAAATCATCTGAACTCTGAACACTTCTCTCTCGGCTACCCGAAGTTTGAATAGTCCTGTGATGGAATTTTCTTTATTATATATCGACGATTCGGATAATCGCAGGCATGCATGTTGAAGAGAAAAAACTTGAAATGCAGTGATAAGGATCCACCCTCGACGATCCAATACTGTTTAGAAAAGCTCCGAATGTAACGAGTTATTGATGCACCGCACGTGCAGGACAAGGTTACTGTTAGCTGTACACTTGGCTCGGTGCGTAACTCCGTTCACCCATTGCAGCATCCCGCCCTTATGGGAATTCTGTACCCCAGAGTGAACTCTGCATTTTCGTACCAGCCACAAAGTCCCGACGATCAGGTACGCGAGGCAGAAGCGGAGCAAAGGCGACGTGGAAAAGCTTCCAACACGTGCTGCTAACTTCGATTCCAGAGCGCAAACGCCATTCGGCCACGCGAGAAACTTCGATTTTAGCAGGGCAGGGGTCAGGAGCATGGGGGCGTTATTTTTGTACCGCCTGGAGGTTACCAAGTTCTACAGGGGTCTCGTCCCCTGACAGCAGCAGCAAGCAGTAACCCCGCTGATTGGTATCTTTCAGGGGTACAGACATCCAATCCAAATATAGTGCTGTGTTACCATAATATATCGGCCAAATATCCTTGACTGGTGCAACGATCGCACTTGGCCTGGGCTGGGGTTGTCCGATTGACATAGCTTAATGGGCCGCACCATAGATCATTTGGCTGCACACCAACGCTGCGAGGTTGCGAGGTTAACGACAATAAGATGAAATCAATCTTCGAGGATCAGTACTTTACAACCAGACCCTTGCAAAGAGGCGCTACGCATTGGAGAGGCACATGCAAGGGTTAGTGATCGATCCGGTCTGACTTACCGTATGGTTACCTACCGCTCCGATCTTTCCAAGGTGCTTCCGTACAATCGTTCCAAAGCCCACCTGATCAGCTATCTATAATCACAAGGCTATTTCTAATACCTCTCTGTGTCTCCTGTCTTATGTGCAGCAGCTGGAGCTGCAAGCTCAGAGAGCGAGTTTAAATTAGATCCCCGACTTTGTGCCAACCTGTGGTCTTGGCCCCTAATGTGCGTCAAAAGTACCGTCAGCGTTGGGGAAAGTTCAGGGGTAAAACCTGAAGTCTACCCCGTGCCTGGCCCCCAACACCCCAAAAGGCGCACAAGACAGCCAACGCCCGCGAGGCTCAGGCCGTTGCGGATAAGCCCGAGTAGTAAGCCCAGGCACCGCCCGCCGCCTGTCGCTTGGCCCCCATTGGCCCGTTTCCATTTGATGTGAACGCCACGTACAGTACAAAGCTCTTGTGCTGTGCTATGCTCAGTAATGCCATGATGACTTCTGAGTGTTTGATGAGGTTCAAGCTATATATTATGCTGGTCGCCAAGAGACGCTATTGCTTAGGACTTGGTCAGAGAATATCGCAGCTCGTACCTTGGCAACGCCTTTTGCTGATGGTGGTGATGGTGGTAGGCTCGTAGTATCATGATATAATAACTGGTGTTTCCCGATGATCTGTTCCGTTTTCGTTAGCAGAAGGATATTTTGATAACTCACTTATTATCTTTCACCATATTTCAAATCATCTGGAATTCTCCCATACACAATGAAAGCATCATATCGCAACACTTTGGTCATTGCGACCCTGGCGCTGGTAGCCTCGACACAGGCGGCAAGCTCATCCAAGCGCGGCCTCCTCGTCACCGAAACCGTTTCCGCGAGTAATCTCGACTTGCTTGAGAGCAAAACGTCGTGGTACGTCAACTGGGGCTCCACGCCGTCCACGCAGTTCTCCCAGTCGGACCTCGATTTCGTGCCGATGGTGCACGACGCCGGCACGATGGATTCGGCCCTTACCGAGATCAGCTCGCAAGCCGACGGCGGCTACCTTCTGACTTTCAACGAGCCCAACGTCCAGGGCCAGGCGAACATGGACCCTGGGACGGCTGCCGACCACTACGTGCACAGGATCCTGCCGCTGCGCGACTCGGGCAAGTGGAAGATCTCTCACCCCGTGGTGAGCTCTTCTCCCGACGGCCTAGTGTGGCTGCAGGAGTTCGTGGCCGCCTGCAGGAACATCAACGGCGAGAGGGGCTGCCCTAGCGACTTCATCGCGCTGCACTACTACGGGCCCTTTGACTACCTGAACGAGACGTACTGGCCGCAGATGTCCGAGTTCTATAACGACCCAGCCAACACCTTCCTCGCGGCGGAGGAGCAGGCCGACCTCCGGTACTGGTTCACCGAGATCGCCATCCCTGCCGCCAGCCCCGAAGACACCCTCGACATGATGCAACATACGCTAGATCGGCTCGACAACGAGGATCTCGTCGCACGTTACGGCTGGTTCGCCCTCACTGTCACCGATGAGAGCTGGGTCGGGCCCAATGTGGCATTGGAGAATCATGCCGGGGAGTTGTCGCCGGCGGGGAAGTACTATTTTGGCGCATAAGTCTTGCTCTCCATTTTGGGATTTCTTCTTTTCACTTATTCATTTTGTTGGGAAAGGCGGTTTTTTTGTCTTTTCCCCGCCTGTTCATACCCTTTTCTTCTTTTTCTTCATTCTGTTTTTCGATCATCCGAAAGATACCCTTGATCGCTTTTGCTTCTTTTCTCTTCTCTACTTTCATTCCCACCTTATAGGGCAAGGCGTTAGATGGATTTATGTCATGATTATACGGCCATAGAGAGGTTCCTGCAATAGAAATACAATCTGTTAAATATTGTTTCTCAAAAGTCATTCTCGTGCTGTACTTAATGCGAATCACCGCCATCGACTCCTTTGCACCATTGGTATCATGACTTCACAAAGATTGATGGCAAGTTCGACGGCGCTGGAGGCATTGCCGCTTGGCCATTGTCGGGTGCTCGTAGCTGGCATACTACTTGGCTCGTTGGATGGGAGTTGACTTGCGGCGTCCATACTCGTTCCATTACTGATGAGTCCATCTGGGGTCTTGGATCAAAATGCATTGCAGCGACACGACTTCATAATGTGACAGAGGCGCGACTTGGCTATTTAAACCAATGCGTGCGGACACGGTGGTCTCTCGTTCACATTCCAGACAAAAAACCCTGTGTTCGCAGCCTCAGAGAAGCAATCTCCACCTGAATTCCCCCTAGTTAGCAGTTGGAGCATTTGAATCAATAGCGCAGTGGGTGTGACGATGCGATTATCCGCCCCATAGTGCTCTTAGTTTCCAATAAGCAGGCCGATTCGCCAAGCTAGTAAAGCGTCTTCAATGGGGATGTAACTCAGTGGTAGAGTGTTCGCTTTGCATTCTATGCGAAAATGCGAAAAGTCCAGGTTTCGATCACCTGCCTCTCCAGCTTCACTACCAATCTTTTTGACCTCCTTTCAAAGGATTCATTTCTTTTTTGGCTTTTTGCAGGTCCAAAACAGATACTTTCTTGCCTGCTTCGCCACGTGGGTTGGTGCAAATAGGCGATGCCATGGTTCGATTCCTGTAGAACGCGAGCAGTTTTCAATTCTTTCTTTTTTCTTTTTCTTTTTTGCATCGCATTGCAGGATTAATTGATTTAATCAGTGAAAATAAACGTTCTCTAGTGAGATCTATCTAGATTTGATCCATAGTCAGATTCGGAGTGCTGTTGAAAATGTCGCTTCATCGTCCAACTTCATCTCCGGTGTTCACGTGTTTTGCACCAAACCCAATTTGACAACGCTCTTGTGCTGATATCCTCTATCAGGGGTTTAACGGGCACCCCCGCCGACTCCAATTTTGTTAACGCTAAGTTACTGCTTTAGTAATGGAGGGAGGCAAGGCAGGGGTGGAAAAGGCCTCACTGCTTACCTACGAAGTTAGTAGCTTCGGCAGAGATCGGGTACGAGTACCCGATTTCCATCTCTGTCCCTTGTTCGTTCTTTCGTCTGTGACAAGCTGCCGACGGCGTTGGCCGAAACCGACCCCCTCCAGCTATCGAAAGACCGCGCGCATCGACACTGTACAACGCGCATCAAAGAATAGCGGGAGGCGTGAGACACGTGGTAAGACAAGGACAGGCACAGGCACCATGCCCGAGATCTCACGCTTCTCTCACCGCCCAATCAGAGTGCGGGCTCGGGTCAAAGACTGCGATAGGAAGCGTATACCGAAAGCGTAAGTCGAGACTTGACATTTTCCTCTTGTGAATTTCTGGAGCAATATTCAAAAGATGGAATTTGGGTTACCGAGATCTGCAGGTTTTTATGTACTAGTGATGCTGAACCGTCCCTGTGCCCTGGCGTCAGTTGCCAGAGATGTAAAAGCAGAAAGAGCCGATGCATCGTTCCCATATCATCCTCGCCGTCGCCAGATCGTAGGGTAACGTGCGAGCGGTGCGCCCGCATCTCTGCAGAATGCATTTTCCCTAGTGACCACGTTGATGGTGCTCTAGCAGCGCAGCCGGATGCTTCAACGATATCCCCGAGCCCATCATCGGGCGCACAAAGAGCAGCACCCACGCCGCCATCGAGGCCCACGACGATAATATCCTCCAGAGCACCGGCTATTTCACAGCGGCAGGATACCGGCCGACCTACGCAAGAAGCTCGGCTCTTTGTCAGAAATCCGCACCAGACTCGTGAGTCCATGCCACTTTCAAGCCAAGATATCTGATAAACTCCTTATTCTTACAATAAATAGATTATGCAGGCGAGGTTTCGAACCGGACCTTTTTGCTTCAAATCCAGGATGCAGTTAATGGAGCCGCGTCTACAACTACACGTAGAGACATACAAAAGGCAAGAACCTTATCTTAGAGGGAAATTGCAGATCCGCATTATCTGATTGATATATTATTTTGCGGACATAATTCTGGAGCACATGAAGTCGTCCTTTTGCTCCAAGTATTTGAGATCACTTCCACTGACCATCTATGGTCTATCAGGGCTATATTGTCTTTCCCGGCCTGTCCACCATCGATAACAGCGTCTTATCAACAGTACACGAAGCGTTCCCGCCCATGAACGTTGCCGAATTCCTTGTGCAGGTCTTCTTTCACACCGTGGAGGCCAATTCGTATTTTATGGACCGAGAACGATTCAGTACGAGATTGGAGAAATTGTACGACTCGACGGGACAGTCTCCACGGATCTCAACCGATGGTAGCGGTGATGATGTCGAGGTTGACCCCAGCTTTTTATGTTTATCATTGCTTGTCTTTGCGCTAGGTAGTCAATTCGCGGAAATGCAGATACCGGACCAAAGCATTACGCCTCCCCCCTCGTTATCAAGACCACCTCCTGGCGATGATCCTGGCATGGTCTTTTACCAGAAGGCAAAACTACTACTCCCCGATATGCTCACGCAGTGCTCGCTTGAGAGCATGCAGGCCTGCTTCCTCATGGGGTTGTTCCTACTTCCGTCGAATGTCTCAGATCTGTCTTGCGTCTACCACGGCATGGCGCTCAAGATGGCGATCGCGGCGGGGCTCCACCGGAAGGTATCCGGTCATGATCTGGATGCAAGACTGATTCAGGTCAGAAATAGACTTTGGTGGTCATTGTATGTGAGTGACAGGTAAGTCTCCCCAGGGGCTGCGCCCCCCCCCCCCTTCGCTTCCCTTACACAAGTGCGTATCAGAATGCATGATTTCCCATTTTCCAGGACTAACGTGTATGGTAGACGACTCGCCATAGTTCTGGATCACCCAGAGTCGATTAGAGAAGAAGATATCGACGCACCACTCCCTGAAAGTCATCCTCAATTGGACGTGCTTCCTATCGGTGATAACAACCTCGCTAATCTCCAAGCTGATATTGCTCTCACCAAAATATTTAATAATGTAGTATGGTATGGTCTCAGATGTATTGTTACATATTTGTATCCTAGAAACAAAACCAGCTAACAAGTCTTTCATGGTTGTTGCAACTACACAGGGTTAGAAAAACGGTTGGCTTCGAATCCACGGATGCTGGGAGCTACATTGACGCCATCAAGCGCAGCCTCACTGGCTGGCTTGACGACCTGCCTTGGCACCTACAACTTTCCAATCTCGACCCTGACATGCAGTCGTTCCGTGGAGCTGTACAGCTCCACATGTCTTACAATCTGATAATTATCCACATGGGGCGTAAGTGCTTGCTCAATCACATCCAGCAGCATCTTCAAGGCCATTACGATCAGAGCAACGGCTCTCAAACACATCCAAAAGCTCGTAGGCACCGTGGTTCAGATGAAATCCCAATGACACCTGTGCATGGACCGACAGATCGTCCACGTTATAGTAGTCACAGTAGGAACTCACCGGGAAGGGGCACAATCGGGAACGATCAGCTGCCACAAATGAACAAGATGGAAAAGGCGCTGATTCGCGACTGCGTCTCAGCCGCCTTCGAGATCATCAAGCTGGTCAGCTACCTTTCCGAGACAGGCAAGCTAGCCCGCTGCTCGTTTGCCGACTTGAGCTGCTGCGGCACGGCCGGTATCATTATCATGATTCACGATATCATCAAGCACCACCCGCTGTACCGCTCGTCCATGCAAACCATGCTGAATGCCATGGAGCACATGGCCGCAGGGTGCCACAAAGCGTGCAACTCGCTCGGATTGATTCAGCAGCTGAGAACTGTCATTACCGAAGTCAAGAGGAAGATGGCTGCTGCGAGCGCGGCAACGCAGAAGAAGCAAGGAGATACAGAGGACAGGAATTACGAAGCATCTCATGAGAACCCAGGATTAAAAATTCCCACGGAGGTGGGGTACCAGGACTGGAGAAGATGGATGGCAATGAGAGGTGCTGATGATAGTAGTGCTAGCGAGATATGGACTGATCAATACGCGATACAGACCCCAGATCATTCTCTAGTCGGCGTTACAGGCCACGTTAACAGGAACCCGCCTGGATCAGAAATAGGAGCTAGTCGCCCTTCGGCGGAGGTAGTGAGACATGCAGAGCAGGAATTCAGTGACGGCGATGATGTAGCAGCGATGGGAGGGCCGCACTTAGAATTCGCGCCAGGGTATCCAGGAACCGAGGGCCAGGTGCAGTACAACACATACACGTGGCCAGCCAATCTCAGCTCGTTGGGACTGAGCGGATTTGAGGACTTGGAATTTCCGGTGTTCTGATAAGCACGATGAAGTACAAGGGCAACCACCGTACATAGACAGCATAGCGCATTCCTATCCCTGTACAACGTTAACTGTAATTCTTATGGACCTGCTGTATAGAGCCTAATCATCCATCGGATGTCGGGTACGCACACCCGCCGTGAGGCCCCGGTCCAGATGCCGATGAGGCCGCTAAACTCCGACAGGTTTCCATCGGTCGTCGTGTTCGTGTCGTGCTCGTGTGGGGTACCATATGATTGATTGCACTCCCAATTTCTCCTGGGAGAGGACGGTTGTTTATTTTTTTGGGGAATGCACCTCTCTTTTGGACATTGAAACTTGACTGCTTTCTTGCTTGCGCTGCACGCTTTTCGTGTTAATTCTTTTGTGCATAAATCCCGCTTATTGATCTCGGATTATCGCCGACCATGCCCCTAACCGTATCTTCGGTGTTCCCTCCGGGGTCCGAGGTGTACATGAAATTCCCTAGCAGGCGCAGCGTGGTTCACAGTACCAAGGGAATTGTGTCTTGCACGCAGCCATTAGCAGCAAAGTGCGGCATCGATGTCTTAGCCGCCGGTGGAAATTGCGCCGTAAGCTCCTAGACGGCCCAATTGCACCCTCAGCGCATGAATTGAGTACTGACTTCTGAATGTGAAAATGCTCTAGGATGCAGCGGTAGCAGTAGGTACGTTTTTAATTGGGCTATGCTATACGTAGCCCGTGTTGCTTTTGGCGAGAAACGGGGGACCGTTCACTGCAGCAGAATAAGGGAGGCTGATGCTGAGACAGCCGCTGGACTAAACATGACCGAGCCCTGTTCCACCGGTATCGGCGGCGACATGTTTTGCCTGTTTTATGACGCCAAGACAAAAAAGGTTTCCGCCCTCAACGGCTCCGGCCGCTCGGCGCAGCGGAGCTCCTTGGACGCCGTCCGCGGCGCCCTCGGACTACCCGACGACGGAACGCCTGCTAAGATCCCCTTCAAGAGCGCGCACTCGGTCACCGTTCCCGGTGCTCCCGCTGGCTGGTGCGACACCATCGAGCGCTTCGGCAGCGGCAAGTTGTCTATGGAGGAGATTCTTAAGCCCGCTATCGAGCTGGGCGAGAAAGGGTTTCCCGTCTCGGAGTTCGTGGCATCCGCTGTAAGAACTTTTCCGATGATCAAGTAGACTCGTGACCTGCGATATGCTGAACTAATGACCTGTCATGTTGCAAATAGTGGAATAGAGCAGAGAAGGATATCCGTAATGCATCGCCCAACTTTAGTGAGA